ACCATCCCGGTGGTGCCATTGGCGCCGCCTCCAAACCACCCCAAAAATTATCCGATATCGCTATATGTCTCGCCGACATGCCGGATCTAGGTAATGGATCAAACACCGCAGCGGATCTTCTCATCAAAGCATATAGCTCCGAATCCGGATGGGCGAGATGTGGAACCGAAATCGTCGTCCCACCTCGCTCTATCAAACAACTTGGAAAAGCTGACATGGACTTACAAGCGACTTCTATCAAAGGTTTGATGATCCCAAGTACGAAATGGATCACTATTCCTGCTGAGACGGAGGTTGCTGCTGCAAAGGAGATGTATACAAAATCTGGTTCGGAAAAGAACAGCACGTACTGTGGGACTACTATCCTGGCGGTTATGGATGATCTCGAACTTGTAGGAGTTTTGCAAATTGGAGACCTGGTATAAATTGCTTCGTCTTTTGTGATTCAAATTCAGTTCAATTCCCTTCTGGCGTTTTCATAAGGATGGATGGAGGGACCGAGGTTATTGATTTTTTATGGAGGGGTTTTTGGGGAGTGAAGATCCACACGCACTTTTTGGATTAGCGACGTGACATCCAGTCCAAATTTGTATAGCGCTTCGCAAGTTGTTCGTTGGTTGGTTGGTTTATTCGTTTGCTGGGGGTATTATCGATTTTTTCCCCCTCCCTTTCTTGGGTTCTCATTCGTCATCGCGGTAGTGATGGGATGAGGGGTGCGTGGCTTGATCGATTGAGCGGCGGTTCTGAGTGTTTACGGATTAGCAATGGTTGGAGTGATGGAGGAATGGATGCATGCATGAATTATGATTAGGATACTAGGTAGCAGGAAAGAAAGGAAAGAAGGAAGTGTTGTATAAACGGCTTTGGGGATTATAAATTTCTCACTTTTGTGAGGAATGGGGAGGGAGGGAAAGAGAAGGAAAGGAAGAGAAGAGGAGGGTAATCGGATAGTTACCTATCTACCTATCTACCTACCTTACCACAGCGGACAATGTTATACCTATCACCTCTTTGAACTATTGTTTATCTCCCACTCTCTCTGCTTTGGATTGAGTGACTATTTGGTGATTGGATGGATTGTTTACTCATTTTTTCTTCATCGGTGAATGTATGTGTAGGTTTATGCGGGGTGTATGCTTGATATAGATCAGTATATATTTCTTGGTGTATATCGATCTATGTATATCTTTCTTTCTATTCCTATGTCTATGTTTATATCTATATCTATGTCTATGTTTATATCTATATTTATATCTATATCTATATTTATATCTATATTTATATCTATATTTATATCTATATTTATATCTATATCTATATCTATATTTATGTTTATATTTATGTTTATGTTTATGTTTATATCTATGTCTATATCTATATTTATATTTGTATCTATGTCTATATTTATACGTAACATTGTCTACACATATACCCTATCCTATCCTATCCTATCCCATCCTACCTCCCAAAACAGAAGTAGTCTCCATGTTCAAACTATTCAATAGTACACCACGACTCAACAGCACCATAAGTCTGATGCTTTGTAGGAGCAGTTCTTCAATCTTCTCAATTTCCTCGCTTGTTTATACTACTACTTCTTCTTCTTTTCCTACTCCGTTTTTCTGTTTTATTGAAGCTTCTTCTTCTTCTCCTCCTCCTCCTCCTCCTCAAAGAATTGCTCCTAGCTAAGAAGTATGATACTACGATAGGTATGCTAGATATACCGCTCCAGACACATTCCTCGTTTAGCTCAAACGGAGACTCAACTTGGTGGATGTACACTACTAGAGCTCCCTTCAATACTTAACTCTACACGGTCGTTCACCTGGACACAGAGAGGTTGGACGTATCAAGAGTGTTTATGATCGACACGGTGTCTTGTTTTCACTGACAGGGGAATGCTATGTCACTGTAGGGGCAGACATATTGAAGAATCTTTGCAGCAGCTTATTTCCCCGAATACAGCAGCATTCATGAAAGATTGGATCATTCTGCAGACACTATTTGCAACCAAGAGGGCAGTGTCTGCGCTTCAGCTTCGAATTGTCGAGTACACTCGGCGACACCTATCCTACCCCCAAGATTCCCTCGATGCCTTCCTTGATAGCTTTGCGGCGTATGAGCGACAGAGAGCAGCATGCTCTGAAGTATCGGCAGTAATAGACTCGGCTTCGAGCAGTGTATGCCTGCCGAATCACACTGGGGGTTACCCTTTATAGATGGCGCCCCATTGCTACATTGGTATCATCCAGAACCATCCAAACGACGAAGACCAGATTTCCCTACCTGGTCATGGTTTGGGTGGGAGGGAGGTATCGAGTTTAAGGATCGTTACCTTACCAATTCATATAGATCCACCGACTTAACATATGCACCCATATCTGTCAAGATTCCAGACAAGTCGACTAATTTTTGTGAACAAAAAATGATGCATCTGTATGCGACGGGCCCATCAGCCAAACTCAAGCTCGTCGGGGCAAATCAACTACCGAATTCTGGTGAGTTTCCAAACCTAGATTTCAGGACCTGTCACCACCATGTCATGTTTGAGAAAAACCCCCGGGGATATTCGCCGTAATTCGTTTAACGTTGAATATTGAGCCTGAAGTTGGAGAACAAACATTTAGTCTTCTTTTTACAACCGAAATCGAGTCGGGTGAAGAGAAATGTTTCAGTATTCGCGGCCTCATAGTTTTACGAAAGGGCGACAAAAGCTTCACAAGAATTGATTGCATGAAGTTGGAAGACTTCTGGGTGTGCAGATACGTTGGCATCGATGGTGCCTCCATTGCTAAAGAAATGATGCCTCCATTCAATGATCAGCGTTATTTTGGTCAAGAATTTACAAGGCAGCGTATCTGTCTCGAGTAAAGCGTAAACAAGATCGAGTTACGAGAATATTGAGTATAATCTTATGATGGAGCTTGATCGAGTTCCTAATTTTCCATTGACAAGGAGGGTCAACTCGTCCCACCTTACCCGCCATTATGATTGGCGTCAGAATTCTCTCGTCTTCACCGGTTGCTAATTTCGTGCTAAATCAAATGATCAATATTTCAGAAATGATATCGCCAAACCTATCTTTTCCGGAAAACGCTCATCACAATAGCAAGCTTTCCTGACGGTAGGTCCTTTTCAATACTCTTAGAAAGATTAGCTGCAGATGTTCCTGTTCGTTTTGTATATACAAACAACCATTCTTCCTTATCCAACCAGAAAGTGATAGGATCAAGTCCGCATCAGTAAGATCGCATTGTATAGCCTCATGCACAGGCAATCAAACACCTCGATATCCTGATTAGTTAGTACAGCTTTCTGCCCAATCTCTCTACCTACCCTGAGCTGATAATGCCGAATGCTTATCTTGAGCGTGCCCTTGAGAAATACTTTGATTGAGATAAACTGTATATTCTCCCTCATACAAGTAACCAGAATGTTAAGTGAGGAAGTTCACTGTTCTGAAAGTTGTTAGTCACGTTCTTGTTTGGTTGTTTCTGGCTATATTGCACCGCCACAATAATATCTATAGAACCCGATACCAGGGCTACCTACCCGTGGACCTACTAACTGCTCTTAATGGCTGTGCCTGTGGCAAGTGCGAGTGATAAGGAAACTTGATAGGCGTATAATGAATAGCCACAGGAAGAGTAGTTGTTAATGACGTCATTTCGGAGCATTTGCCCCAGACAAGCTTGAGTGATGTCAAAATCGAGAAACTACCATATATTATTGGAATTCGATACAGGTTTATCTACATTGTTGAAACCTTTAAGAATAAAATCCTACGATACCTACAATAACTATTACATACGAGCATCAAAAGTGCTCGCGAAACATACCTCTAAAGAATACAATCTTCACATCACATCACAATGTCTAATCCCACCGAACCACCACCACCCTACACCGAGAGTGCCACTCCCTCCCACCCCCACAAAACACGAAGTGGTATCCCCCCCCAAAGCCGTCGTTCCATGGAAGATGAAGCACGTTCTCTTCCTCCGGATTGGATCCGTCAATACGACACGGAAAGCAACCACCAATTCTTCGTCGACACGCGACAGAACCCTCCCCGCTCCATCTGGCGACATCCCTACGACGACGACGAATATCTCTCTTCGCTCCCCGCCCACGAACGTCAGCGAATCGAAGGTCTACACCGCATCCCCAGCGACGCAGATCTCGAAGCCGAAAGCACAGACGACGATTCTGCTCTTCCTGCGCGTTCTCAGAATGTTCGTCCCAATGAACAAAATCCCACTGGCATCCACAAACTCGGTCGGAAAATGAAAGATAAACTAACTCATTCTACACATCCTGAGCGAGAAGCCCGTCGCAGAAAGAGAGAAGAAGAGGAAGCTGCGATGTATCGACGTCATCAAGCTATTCGAAATGCAATGCGCAAGGCGATTCAGACAGGTGAACCGCAGTTGCTGGGTAAAGATCGTGAGGGGAAAGATGTGTATATTGAACCTCCGAGAAATATGGCAGGATATCATCCTGGTTCAGGAATGGCGGGGGCCGGAACAACGAGATTGGGTATGTATCCTGCGGGAGGTTATGGGTATAATCCGTTTATGCCGGGTGGAGGCGCGTTTGGACCGAGTCCGTATGCGATGGGCATGGGTGCGTATGGAAGACCGGGGATGCCGTATAATAGGGGTTATGCGAGGGGATATGGAGGGGGAGCGGGATTACCGTTGGCGATGGGATTGGGTGGGGGATTGATGTTGGGAGGATTGATGTGTTAGGTGGTTTGGTGATGGGATGGATTATGATTACAGAAATGCAAGACAATTCTTGTGAGAATGAATTATGAGATTATGATGCTTTCGGTTGGCATTCATGGATCACCATGGAATGAGAGGATGGGAAAGGAAAGGGAAATATGAATAATTGCAGGACTTTCCTTTTTATGCTGGAAAATCAGCAGTACCTAGGTAGTGATAAAATACCCAATACGATGAACTTTCAATTACACAACTCGCTTTCATCACTTAACGTAGGCGTTTCTTATAATCATACTTATCACCTACCTCGAGATTTCATAGTCCAGCAGACGATATAATAACTTAGCTAGTGAACTAAAATTGTCTAATGAACTCATCCTTTCTATCAATACTCATCTGGTGTATATATGCACATATCTTCTCTTCCATCTTAAAATACTTTCTAGTATCCCAATTTAACTCATCTCACCTCATAGGCATGTTTATAATCATCCAATATCTACTCCCCATTATCTAGGTATCTCCTGCACACAATTCCGCTTGCACTCCCCATCTCCTTCCCTCCTTCCCCAAACCTTCAATACCTCAACTCCAATCCAGCCATCTTCTCAAAATGCATCTATAACTTAGCCTTCTCTCCCACCGCCCCAATCTTCAGTTTCTCCCCATATTTCTTCAACACACCCTCATTATGATATTTCCAAAACTGTTTCGAAGCGTCCTTACCAGCAACACGTTTCAGAATCTTTGCACCGCCGGGATGTTCTTCGAGGAAATCTGGAAAGGGAGTTAGTTTAGCCGCAGGTTGAAGGGAAAAGCAGTCATAAATATAGAAAAAAGGGGTTTCGTAGAACTAGGATAAAAAGGGGAAATAGAACATACTGGTAACATCATATACATGCTCGTCGATAATTAAGTACATGCCATTTTCGGCATCTTTGTGAGCGGCGACTTCGGAGGGAGAAAAGGTTTTAGACATCTTGAACGGGGGAGGACGATATGTATTTGAATTAGGATGGGAATTCGATGTACTGGAATTATAATATTGTCTCTGGTCTCGATTTCCAATCTGCGATTGATCCCCAGAATATCTTCTTGTTCTACTTCCACTCGAAGTTTGTGAATCGGTGTATCCTCCTCGTGAATTCGGAGGTTGTGTTTGGATTTTCTGTTTCTGTTTCTGAGATGGGGATTGTAATTGAGATAACCGCACGCGTTCTTGTTCGCGTTCCTGGTCGGCTAATAATGTTTTCTGCTGATGTTGATGTAATGCGATCAAGTATATGTAGAGGGAAGATGTGGCGAGGATAGCAGTAAGATTGGCAGTTCCGATGTTGGGGAGGGAGAAAGAGGAGGAGGGCATTTCCCCGGATTTTCAGGAGGTCGTGAGATTAGTATTGGTTGGACGGATGGCTTGAGAGGATTTGAACCGAGGTTAAAGGGTAAGATATGGGGTCAGCGAGATGAGGTGTGCCGTGATTGGTTGAGCTGGTGGTCGGCGCATTTGGAGATGGGTTTGCCGATGTATACGAATCTACGGAGGACAATCTAGATGGAAGTTTTGGGGGTCTTCTTTGGTGTTTCCTGTCTTTGGGAGTAATGAAGGGGTTGATGGCTCTACTGTGGTTCTGTTCAAGATGGAAACGTATAGTATATCTTCATCAATTCTTTATAGTCCTATCTATCATATAATACTTTCTATTCCTACAATATCATTTTCATATAACATATAAATCTTTCAAGGTAATCCAGTCCATACAACACGTGTGCATGAATAACATTGTCATGATCTATAAATGCACATACGTACAAGGGTGTGTTTTTGATGAATGCCGGGATGAAATTTAAGCGAATTCCCTCATCAAAATCACATTCTATTCTGTTTTTTTAGAAATATATAATAATTCAAATATCCATTAAAACTCTTTAAAATCTATATAATTTATAGAGATTTAGTTAATAATTATTTTGATATAAAGAATATCTAGTTTCAAATTATAATTATTGAAGAATTTAGAATTTAATATAGATTTCAAAAATTAGATGAAAGTTATAATACTTTCACCACCTAGAATTCACCATATAAACTTTTTAATCATCATAATCATGAAAAGCTTAATTACTTTTTAATATGTTTTATACCTCTGTAGAAAGGCATTGAAAAATGCTTTGCGCACGGACCCAGCATTCATCAAAAACACGACCTCGTATAACTTAGCAAGATCATCCAAACCCTTGCTATAAAATCAAAATCATGACAATATATAGTTACCTACCAATCAATTTAAGAGTTACTCGCATTCAGGCAATCTCCTTTGGTACCTAATGAGAATGACATTCAAATTACTCCACCTATTCCCGTGCGATTTCTTTTCCTCAAAAGGCTACATTTGTACAACCAACTTATCAGAAACCAGATTTTGAATTGTGGGTGTGAGCATAAGGATGATGAGATATCTCGTATAGATCAGGTGTACATGACATACACTTTTACTACAGTATAGAAAAAACAGTTCTGTTGGTTAGACGTTTGAGAATATATTGATTGGACTTCTCTGGAATATCTTTCAAGGTTCGTGGAAGAAGATCTACCTATTCACTTGCAAGGTAATCTTACGTTTGTATCCTGATATTCTTCCACAAGATACGGGTCTCTGGGATTTCAAAAGGATTGTGATTTCTGTTGAATTACAACTCGGAATCAACATATACATTTCTTTTGACCGACGACGATCATCTAGTTCAAGATGTTTTCTATACCGTCGATACCTTACAGAAAGGAACCCTATCCTCCATATTGGGGCACGATTAACTCGCAAACAAAGTAAGTATATCTTCCTTCTACCATATACTCTCATTCACCATACTAATATCGAGTAGTTTCTGCGAAGAGGTATAGAGATCCTCGATTCATGATGAAATAAATCATGTATCAGTCAACTGATGGAAATCAGGATCATATCATAACTACTTATATCGCCGAGTTTATAAATACACTCACGAATATCACATACCGTACATTCTTCCCTCTTCTCATCCTCTTTCTCATGTTTTACCATTTTATCTTCCGACGTGTTTAATCACGAGGTTCATTTTTACATCAACAGCCGATGAAGTGCTAATACTTCAACGATACATAGTTTACTACGCCTACAGAGGTATTCGCGCGAATTCCAACCGCCAAGATGCCATCCTGCGGAATCTACCCTATCTCGGACTCGCAGCAGTTGGTATCCTTAGTGCTCTGTTCCATGCAACTAATAAAGACTGGACGCAATGGTGTATGTGTAACTTATCTCTCTTTTCTCTCGTCAAGGGAATTCAAACCCCTATATTTCCTATCTGATACCTTTCCTTCTAAATGCTCATACTAATAAATTTTAGTCGACGACACCTCCATGTTGATCGCCACATCTACTGTCGTTCATCGAGTTTTCACATATGACAAATCACTCAGATATACAGTTGTCACCGGAGTATCTTTATTTGTCTTTATGGTTACATTTGTAGCCTGGCATTGTATCACTGACGAAACTCTAATGCATCCTGTTCTTTTCGGTAAGGTTTCTCTCGATTTCCGTCCCCTTTCCCGTTTAATCCACAACCAAGAAAAAAGGCAACAAGCAGCTGACGGACATGAACAGGTATCGAGATCGCATTTGTAGGAATCAAAACACGTAGTATCATCAATCTCCGCGTGGCAGATGTAGCGGTCCAGGAACAGGTTAAAAAGCTCGTTACATATGGAGGTAGTATGTAGAATCTCATCATACTCCCTTCTCACATCACATGATCTTCCTCCAGAGTCCTAACTAACAAACCTAGTAATCTTCGTATCCGGTTTCATTCTCTGGAATATAGATAATCAGTTTTGTGAATCTCTCACCGATACAAAACATTCGTTGGGAATGCCTTGGTCCTTTGTATTGGAACTACATGGCTGGTGGCATATTTTGACGGGAATCGGTGCTTATATCTGTACGTCATTTTCTTTCTATCTTCCTTTCCTTCTATCTCCCTATCTAGCAAATACTCCAAGCACACAAACCATTAAAATCAAGTACATAAAGCCCAACCTAACAACAAAAACAATAGTCATAGCACTAGTCGAATACCTCACCTCCGAAGAAGCAGGCCAAGAACTAGGCAAAAGCTTCGCGTGGCCTGTAGGTTTAATCTTAGCTAGCCGCAAGAACGCAGCGAAAGATTGGGGAAATGGATCTGGAATCGGAAATGGAAGACTTCAGGAGGAGAACGGAAATGAGGATGTGTTTTCGAATGGATTTGGAAATGGTGATTTGCACGCGAATGGAAAGACACAAGTGCATGAGAGATATAAGAGTGAGTAGATGTGTAGATGAAAGATAAAGAGATTGGTAGAGGAGGTGTGGGGGTGTGGGGGTTTGTATGTGTATGTGTGCAGTTGAAGGGAGAGGATAGGGGATTGGATTTACAGGCGAGAAATCGCAATTTGGGATAGGTTGATGCGTGACGGGTGGAAACCTTTTTGATGAGGAAAATCACACGATGGGGGGAGGGAGATGAAGAGGGAGAGAGAGATGTACAGGTGCGTTCCGGTATGAATAGGGCAGGACAGAGCGAGACGCAGGAGACACATCGTGCTACACTAGACCCTAGAACCATATCTCATGTCTCAAATCTCGAATACCAGATCTCGAATCTAGAATACATCCCGGTATCGTGACTCGTAGCCGTCATGTGCAATCAAGCGAAAACACCAGATCAGATGAGGTGAGATAAGATATAAAATCCAATCACCAAAACACATATCCGTGTATAACTCATCCAACCATTCAAACTATCAATCCTCTCTCCCATGTTCTCATGTCATTCTACACCATCCATCCATACATACGTTTATTCATTCTTTAGAATAGGGGAGTGATCATCTCGGCTATTCCTCTTTGATAGTTTCACGATATTTTGGTGCTTCATCCCCATCCCCATCCCCATCCCCATCCACATTCACATCCACATCTACATTTTCATCTACATTCTTCTCCTTCCTCATCCTCCAAAGCTTTCACTATCTCGATACTTGAAATACATCATACATTGAAATAGACCAAGTGAGTAAGTAGGCAGGGAAGTCAAGACTTCCAAAGAAAGGGAGAAAAAAAAACAGCAATCTAATTTCTGCGCAAATCCCTACCTAGGCAGGCACTCAAAGAATGAAAAATTCCAAGTTATCCTTTTTCGTGTTTCAATCTATACCTATGTAAAATAGCATTCCATACCACGCCATACCATGCATGTCTGCTATACAATCTGCATTCTATTCTTTAATATGCTATTCTATTTGATTCTTCCACTTCTGATCTCAATTCTCTTTATATTCAGCTTTATTCTTCTCATGTTTGTCTTCTTTGCTTGCTGTTCTTCACTTGCTGTGTTAAGTGTCTTTCTTTAATGACTCTCCTTAATAACTCTCCTTACTCCATTCAATATATCCTCCCCTCATCTGCCTTCACAATTATCCTTCCCAAAACTACTTTTTCCATCCATCCACCCATCCAATATCCATCCAAAGAGACGACCACCAGCCCTCAAAAATCCTCAAGAACCAGAAAGTAAAAGCAAATTGAAATGTCTCACACCAATCCAAACAAACACCAATGAACCAATGTACCAACCCCGCTACTCCACGCTACGCTCCAAGGCTCAAAAACAGCAAATAAGAATCCCATATTCTATTTGTCAGATAACAAATCAACATATATCCACTCCTCATCTCGTCTCTGCTATATCGTCGGATCATACTCATCGTATATATATAAAATATCTTCTAACCAAGTTCATCCTCAAAATCTTCATCAACATGAATTTGAAAAACGGCGCCTTTGATATATCTCCCAACAGGTTGTGTACTAGGATATTCCGATGGAGTATCACTATCATCACTGTCCTCGCCTTCAATGACTTCTGGTTCTCGTGGAAGAAGACCAGCGGTTGTCATTTTAATTGTTGATTGTGAATCCTCTTTGGGAGTATCATCAACCATGCCTCCCCACACATCATAAAGTTGATGTTCCTCGTCAGATGGATCGTTGGCAAATGGTTCAAAATCGCTCAATGCGTTATCATCATAGCCTTCACCCATATTGATATCATTGTAAGTTGCATTACCAAATGCATCTTCCTGCGTTTGAAAACTCCTTGTACGGGAATTTGTGTCAACATAAGGCGCATTACTATAAGGCGTAGCGTACGCGGATGGAGTGACATTTCTCTTACAGTCTACAACTTCTTGCGATGTAGAAATCCCCGGACTTGAGGGACCAATACTCCAGGCATCACGTGGACGAATAGGTGATTTTGATGTACGGCGACGCTTTAGACTAGAGGTCTTTTGAAGGGGAGAAGAATG